AAGGAGCGAAAATATAATGCAGCTGGGTTGCCTAGCAACAAATGGATGCCATTATGTTTAATTAAGTATAGCATGAATGAATGAATTTTTGTTGTGGATTACATATATAAAACTTTTACATGAACTATGAGTAATAGACAACTGACAATAAAAAGAAATAACTGTATATTTAAATACTACGAAAGTATATTTTTTATTTACGCACATCATTATCATTTATTGGTATTGGTTGCTTGCCTTTAGACATACGCCTCCTTTTACTTCTTCTCTTTATTTTGTCTACCTCTGCCTCCTTCAAAACTTGATTGCCAAACAATGATTCATTCATTCACTCCATTTATTTATATCACGTAAGGTGTTCTGCTCTATCTGCATTTAAAATTTCTGGCCTTTTCACACACATCTATAATTTCTATTATTCTTCTTAGATTTAATATTTTTTCTTCTGTTCCCTTCTGATATCAAACACGCTTCTCATTACAGCATGCTGGATTTTTTTTTATTTTGACTATTTGTAAGAGCACAAGTCTGAGAACCATATGTCAGGACTGGTAAATATGATATTTTCGTCCTGGCATTTTGTGAATCAGAATAGACATTCTGATGAAAACAAACGTTTTTATTGTGCGGGAATTCAAACTCATGACCTTCGGAAGGGAAGCAGTGTTAAATCATTAGAACACCAAAACTGACGATTAAAAAATATTACAGATAAGTATTATATATTGAGGTAGTATTCTACATAGTTTCTTGTAAGAGATATTCTAGAAATAATTTACAAGCAACTTTTGGTATTTAAATATTTATTATATTATCTGACATTTTCCTAGTCTGTAAAGAAAAATATTATTCAGTTTTTGCTAATTAAAAGAAAAAGCTGCAGGAAAGAAAAAGCTACTAAGTACACAGGAGGGTTAAGATAGCAAAGGTCTTTTACGGAGTACATTTCTATGAAAGCGGTTGTTTTAAAATAAATTACAATATTTGTAATTCAATGAGCTATTATACATTGTAAGCATTTACTACAATACAGTGGTTAGTTAATATTGAATAATATTATTTATTTTTAAGTAGCTAATATAAATGTTATTTTATCATTAGGAAAACCCATTAAGGTCGCGTTGCTAGGGCACAGATCCCCCTAATATAGGGATATTTTTTTAACGAATGGTATATGATAGAATGGTGTTTATGCTAATGGTATTATATAGTAGTGGGCCATCAGTGAAGAATGGAACAATGAGGATGAAGACAGATCAGTTAGTCCTTGTGGAATTAATTAATCATAAATCAATGATAATTCTCTCTCCCTATAAGGTTACTACTTTCATAGACTAGGTGACTAATTATAAAGTTCTATATTGAGTTTTCTTTTTCAGAATTAAAATAAAAAAAGTAATGTAAATGACTTAGCAGTATATTAGTAGTAGAGTCGTAGAGTAATATGTCTCTTCAGTTTCCGATGGTTGTGAATTATAAATACGTTCAATAAAACCACTTTCTTGAGCGAGTTTTATATATATACCTATATATGTACGAGTATAGACAGATAATAATGTATAGAACATGTAATATATAGTTGTATTTGTCGGGAAATTTTCTAAGCAATTAAAAAAAGAATTTAAGTAGTTGTACTATACTCACTGTTAAGGTCTGTTTGGTTCTAGATGGCGCTGTTTGATATGGTCAGTTATCATGTGATTTTAATTTTATAATTGTTTTTTAAGTCAGTCTATAAAATGAGTAGAAATAAAATATTTTTGATATTGATTTACATCTTAAAATTACAATTTAACAACAAATATCATATTGTAATTAGTGTGTCGTCTTACATAAATATATGAGATGTGAGCAAAAGCGAGCAGAAAGATGATGGATTAAACAAAACAACGTCAAACTACGAAAGGTACAAAACGAAAAGCCACATAAACGAAAAGAAATACAAGGGGAAGAGAAAGATAAAGCAAAATGGGGATCGCCGGGGTGAGCGCTAAGCATGGAAAATAATGCCTTCCAAGGAAATTACCGCAAAGCTAAGGCGACTGTGCCGACTCGTAGAAAAGGAGGGAGTGTGTGGGCTAAGTGCCTTTTTTCCAAGTTATTTGACGTGTCTTTTTCTCTTCAGCACATGGTCTGACGCGAGCGCCACAAAAAATACCCCGCGATACAAGCTCGTTCTATCGTTAGCAAAAAATGTAATCACTTTTCGTAACATTGGGACTTCAGAAGAATAATGATATATATATATATATATATATATATATATATATGTATTCATTTTATAATATTATTTTTCTTTGAAACAAATTGGTGTTTTTCTTCTATGAATATAAAATATTAATATTAGAATATTGAATTCAAAATTTAGGTACGTAGTGTTTAGATAACTAGATACTCGTAGTTGTAAGAATACAATGAAAAAGTTCATATATTAGATTTAATATTTTACGTCGATAGTTGTAGATGGATGGAATAGTACCTACATACTTATGAAAAGCAATATTGATGGTCTATGAAATGTTAATATACAATGATACAAGTTTTTTTTTTATTTTTATATTGTTTTGTTTTTATGTTGTTTAGTTCTATTACTTATACTGTGATATGAATAAGATTTCTAGAGTTCACTACCGAACTAAGTTGTACATGCAGTATAAGTAAAACTATATATGTACCCACATAAAACGTACATTACATATAGGAAAGTGCCTACGGATTTAATTGAATTCATGCAGTGCAGTGAGCGTTGTATGTATTAAACTTAATTTTATATATTCGTTGATAGATGTAATTCATTTAGATGAATGTGAAAAGTAAAATGTGGGTAAGCACTACTAATATTTACTACTAATACGCCGGATAGTTCCGGAATAGAATGAGCAAATCCTTCTTTTCTAGTAGGTGTCGTAAGAGGCGACTAAGGGAAATTAATAGTCAATTGGCAGTAGCATCCTTCTTAAAACATCGCCAAAGCCTATAAATAAAAATTATATATATATATATATATATATATATATATATATATATAAAAATTATATATATATATATATATAATTTTAGTACTATCAAATTGAACAGAGTTTATACTATAGATACTAGTATAAATAGTAATATACCTTAATACTTTTTTGCAAGTAATTATTATACTATATATATTGAAAATACCTAAACACATAAAAATATATTATATATACTCATGGATAATGTTATTTGATTTATACAGGAATTAAACCCACAACCACCGAAAAGTGAGGTAGTGTGTTTAACCAAGCTCATCATATTTTATGTATTTCAATATTCTGTCAGTAACGTTGCAACAGGTGAAAATTTACGTGATATATTTATATGCACATAATTCAGTAATCATACAAATAGAAATAAGATACCACATGAATAGAACTAGCATACTTAAATAATATTTGTATACAAAATGAGCGTGCTTTTTTATTGTTTAGCGGCAAACGAGCACACGGTTTACTGATGGAAAGCGGTTTACGGTTACGTTCACCCATGAGTACTTGCAACACGAGGGGAGTTGCCTGTGCGTTGCCGGCTTATTAAATGTTTGTGGGCATGCTCTTTCTAAAAACCCCATATTTTAATGTAAGGTTAAAATTTGAAAAGGGAACCCATTTCATAAAGCAAATATACAAGAAAGAAATTAACAGGATGCACGCTCAATGGTAGTACCCAAAGAAATGACACTTGTGGAGGTATTGGTCTGAGTAAGGGAATGAAATACCATGTAGTTAAGCGGGAATTACACGAAGCAAACAAATATATTTTGCTCCGCAAAAATTAATTAAAAACATAACTCCCTACCAAAATAGAACTATTTAAAAAATATTGCAAGTGGTACTAGGAATGACGTAAAGACTAACGATATCCTATACATCCAAATCTGTTCAAGCATTTAAAAGTTAATTTATTTTATACTTTATTGCACCATTTATAAAATAATAAGAAGTTATGGAGGATCTTATACACGTACTTCTATATGAAACCTGAAAATATTATACACATGTTTTAAATAGCCACATTTTATACAACTCACATGCTTGAATAAGAAAAGTAACAGCATTCGATAAATGCAATGTAACTTCCAATATGAATACATTTTTATGTAGTTTGAATTAGAGTACCTATTAGTTTTTCGAAAATTGTAGAAAAGTATATGTATATTTTAGTCAAATTAACAATTAAGAGTCTCGTTTGGTTTTAAAACCACTTCGAAAGTACTCGGCTTTAACTCGTTCTTCTAATATTACTCGCTGTTAATTGCTTTATTTCCGGTTTCAACCGTAATGTACTATTAGAACCCGTCACCACACAGACATAGGTTCGTATAATTTAATAGAATAAGGGTTGTTTAATCGAAATGATGATAATTTGTGAGGAACGTTTTTAGGGATCCTCGTCATTAAAATGTTCCTCTCTCTCTCTCTCATTTCATTCGATACTATAATTTAACTCCTTTGCTGTACATTCTTTTCTCCGTTCTTTTCATTTCATTCATTCGTTCTTTTCATATTGTATCTTATTACATAGACAGACAAGACTGACTGTCGATGGTTTTCTTACATGACAAACGTCTTTTGCGTCGCCTCTTTTATAAATCGTACCTACAAGGTACATAAACTATTTTGTGTGGGGGAGAGGGATTGTTAATTATGGGCATTAATGGTACTGCTAGTGATATTCTTTATCAGGTCGACCTCTATGTGATTCTCTCTCTGTGAGCCACCGTAGTTGATTCCAGCTAATATCATGTTCTAAACGTTAAGCTAAAGTTATTGTGTTACGTTATTAAGATTTACTAATATTCTAAATTTGAAAGTAAGGAATGTTAAAGTTAATGATTGGATCAATTAATTGTCATCAAATTTGAAATACCGTACTATGTAGGATGAAAAAGAAAGGATTTAGATCGGAAAGGATTTTAACATGCCCTGGTTTCGCGAAGTCGCAAGTAAAAGCTAGTTAGAAATAAATACAAACAGTAAAATATTGAAGCTTTTTATTTACAAAATTACCAACATATAATATCACTTTGGGAATTTGCAGGTTTATTTGCATAACGCGATAAATATACATGCTTACACGTTACTACCCAATAAAAACAATAATGATTACAATTCCTTTTCGATTTATTATAAACTGACTATTTTTAGGTAGAAAACAACTGTTATTATGCAGATATATGGAAGTACAGTAAAATGTAATATGCAGTAATTAATTAACAATAATTCTAGAAAATTAAATAACGCGTAATAAAAGTGATATGATAAACAGTACAGACATATTTTATAAAATTTTTACAAATATTCATATTTTTCTGGATACTATAACTAAAATGTTAACTATTAAGCTCCTTAGACAGGTGGCAGATTAATCTATTGATAGATACGGTTTCGTTAGCATTCGTATGATAAAGAATGAAACGGCGAACATCGCAGTCTCGTGCTATCTCATGCATGCGATAACATTTACGTACCTACCTACAGTGCTTCAAGTGGGGTAAATAAATGCCGAGACATGAATATAGAAGTACATTTATTTACAAAGTATCTACAATTAGGCACAGAGATCCCAAATTAACAATTCGTATCGCTATGGAATCTTCACGATATTTATTACGAGTAGCTTGCAGTAGTCGCAGTAAATTTATTCTTCTTCGTTTGAAAGATATTCCAATCGTTATCGGTTGTAAACAGAAACTGTCGTATAACGAGTCTTTCACCTCTTATACGCGCTGAGAAGCCAGAATCCAGAAACTTCTTGACATTTCAGGATGAGTCATCGTAAATATGATAATAAAATATTCTCCAAATTAATTTATAAATCCAGATACTACTTCTATTTGGATTATGTGTTTTTTTTTGTATTTAAGGTATTCCGTCTGCGCTATTATTTGATATGGGTGACGAGTTGCTTGTAGTAGCGGTAACATAAACGAAGTTTCCAGAACAATCCTTTTAGATGTTATGAAGGTGTACCTTAATAATAGATTAGGTTGCCACTTGTCTAGGGAGGTCAGGTATGGTACTCGTAAGCCTTTTATTTAAATAATAATTCGATGTTGTAGTAAATTACGAGTATAATATTTATTAGTTTGAAATTGATAAAATAAAGTATTTATATTATGGAAAAATATATTATAATGTAATACATTTTTAAACAATGGAATCATTATTTCATTAGATACGTAAAATCGGCGAATCGATACGATATAAATTTTGTAATATCTATTAAAAATGTTTATAGAATTTCCAGATATCATATCAAAAGGATTAAAAACTGTTTTGAGATTGAAGTAGTATTTATATAATGAAAATGTTTTTAACGTTTGCAAAAATATTCATTATCAACATATAAATGCCTCTATGACATTCTGTTATTAGATAAAATTCGGAAAAATAAATCTTTTAATAACTTTCAAAGAGTCCACAAATATTTTTTTAAATATTTTCCTCATATTGGTACAATTCGTGTATTTCTTTGTATTAATTTTGTTGTATTGGATTATTTTGTATTTTTCGTTCATATTTATATTTTGTAAGTTTTGACTTACAAAATTTTTCTATTTTTGATTTATTTATGCTTACTCTTTAATAAGCTTCAAGTAAAATAATTATGACAGTTATATTAAAATATAAAAATTACATAAATATATAATATTATGAAAGAAAGCTGGGTTCATTATTGAAACCTTTTTTAGGCGCCGAGGTTTCAGTTACTTACCCATCAAATAATAACATTTTAATTAGCATGATATTAAAGGCCTATTAATTTCATTTTCCAGTATTTACTCAGTGTTTCGCTTCATAAATACAAACAAGATAATACGAAGATATTATGTAATTCTGCAAGAAACTGAATTTTGTATTTTATTTGGCATTTAACTATTACTACAAAGCGTAATTTACATTTATTGTCACAGGTGTGAGAAGAAATCGACAAAAATAATATTTTTATTGAGTTAATTACATATTTATTACGTTTACAATATAAATATGCCACTTAAACTTTATTTACAACAATATTTTATACAAATTATAGCAATACTAAGATATTAACAATCAATGAGTTAGTACTATCTTTACAAAGATCAAATAGATATGTTTCAGACTTTACGCAAAAATAATAATTATTATAATATAAGATCACAAAGTTTGAGTACGTTGTATCAATACAGGACATGGTGATGATCTAACGGACATATCAAGAAATATAATTAGCTTAACAAGTTTCAAGAAGACCCATAAATAAAGCATAATATATAGTTCTTCTGAAAAATAAAATATATTTCCATTTAATCTTAATTAGTAAAAATAACAGTCTATAGGCGATTCGTTGAAACTAGATAATAACTATTTAGGTACTAGCAATAGAGTTAATACCGAACTCTTATATGTATAATTACATATGTTGATGTTTTGTTTTTAACTGTGAACATCACAGACTAGACAATTAATAATTTGCAAAATAACTGACTAAAAATGAATTTGCAAACATTCTAATAGAATTTTGCTTGGTCTTTTTAAAAGAAAATGTTATTGTTAATAAATACGTTTTAAATGCACCTCGTCACAAATTGAAGTGTGGATGCAAAGTGTCATCATTAAAGGTATATTAGACAAACACTAGCCTTTATTTACTTTAAATATTTTACCGTTCGTCAACAAGAATCAAAGAAACGGCGATTCAAATTGTCAATGGAAGACAAAATAAAAAATTACACGAGTAATGATCAATTCCCAATAATTTTTTAAATTATGGGAAATAACTTTTTTAAAATATAGTTTAATATTTGCACATGTATAAAATTGTCTTATTATTTATGATCTATTTACAATAAATTTCTAACTACCTACTCTTATAACGTTGTTGTAAGACCCTCCCATAGAGACTAACCATAATGCGTGATAAAATTATTTACTCATATACTTAGTCATGTAGATATATAAATAATAAAATCGTTAGAATTCACCATTGTGCTTGGAAATATATACTTAAGTGTAATTGTAATTCAACGCATTTAGTTTATGCGACTTTAAATCTTTACTATACCTAATAATGTACTTAGTCCATTTTCTGAAATTCCCTTTGATTTTGTCAGTAGTAGCATTAGAAGATAAATTGTTGTAGAACTACCCGTTATATTGTCGAAATAATTTGCTAAATAAACTTGTGGAATCTTGAATAACTAGTTGAGAAGTTCATATATAAAACAGGTACATATTAAGAATGATAGAGTAATATTATAGTAAGGTAAAGAAAAAAAATGCTGATCTAACTTTAACTTTGGCAATTGACATTCTATTTCGTTTTATTTGATGTATAGTTTCAGTGTGGTTTTAATTATTTTTTGCGTTGCTTGTTCATTAGAGATCGTACCCTCTTCAGGTTGGTCATCGTGACGTCATCATTTGGCTGGAGCTGCAAAGCTCTCCTGTAGGACGTCGCCGCCGCTGCATACTTGCCATTTAGATGAAGAATTGCACCGAGATTGGAATGGTATTCAGCAATCTGTAGACAAGGATATTGGCTGTTATATTGGCTTTTAATGGGAGGTATTTTATTATTAAGACAGTCAAGTTCATATTAAAGCGACATTCCTGAAACGAAACCTATGTCTAATACTAAAAGTATAAATTAATAGTTATGCGAAAATATTATGTTATGTTAGTATCATGGTAAAGTACTATACTTATAGCCCGCAAAGGTAGAGGTATTGAATCTGACCGATTTACTCTAAATTTTCGATTAACTCATTGGTCATAGGATTAATTAAAAGGCCGTTAAAATATAGTTTTAAAGTTAGTAAGTTGATAAATTTAGTGCTCTTTTTTAAATGACTCAATCGAGCTGATAGCCTACCTCATATAAAGTGATGACCAATTACTTAAAAACATAAACTATATTATAACCTACTAAGGTGTAAAGCGAGTGGTGTATTGTATTTTGTTCTTATAGAACACACGCCATATGCGCTTCAGCATAGAATGGACCACCCTATCATTTTCCGTGAGTGTCGCAAGAGGCGACTAAGGGAGGGCGAGGGATGGGCAGCAGTGTCCCTCTTAAAACATCTTTAAAAGCCTAACTGTGGTTACACGCCTGACAAGCGTGGCAACTACTGGCAAAACTCCCCTTATGGGAAAGACTTATGTCCAGCAGTGGACAGTTAACGACTGAAATAATAATAAAAAAGTAGACTTTTACGAAATAACGAAATAACGAGAATGACACACCATATTTTTATTTCTTCACCACACAAAAGCACTATGAATATCTCAGAATACCTTGTGACTTTCTTAATATAGTTTATGTTTATGCCTTTTTAGTTGTTTAAAAGGTACATTTTAGAAATAGGCTTTATATATTCCATTATGCAGACTCATACTATAATTCAATTATTATCGAACTAGATAGTATGTTGTTGATTACTGTAAACAGCAAAGAGCAGTCGAAAAAGTGATAAGTTTATTATTTTATTCAGAAATTGTAATGTATTAGAACAATTTGTACTCTCCTCTAGAATACCGAATGAACCTTGATAGAAATCAATTGAATAATACTCGTATTTCATTAAATTATAACTTCAGTCGCTTTATGTAATATTATCTTTGGATCGGCTTTTCTTTTCAATGAAAGACGTGATTGTGAGATTGTAGCGCTCTCGATTTAAATTATAATGCTTTAACATTTTCCTTTGTCTACCAAAATGTGTGCATGCATTTCTATTAAGAATCATTGATTCCATTGAGGTTTATGTTTAAAAATACTTGAATTTAAATATCAAAGGCTTTAATAATAAGGCTTTAAGAATAGTATTTCGTAACAGCGACAAAAAAAAATGGATACCTTGTAATGATTCTATCACAGCTTAATGTACCAAAGATATTTCTTTCTCTGTCTCTCTCTCTTTTTTTATGCGTGTTTGTGAAAAAGAGAAAATGTGGATTTAAATTTTAAATAGAATATTTTATTTATATTAGATTTAAAGACTTATTTCGATTTTGGGAAAGTTTGCAAAGATATTTATACTCGTATCTTTGTTTTACCTTTTATATAGAAACATCATAACACATTATTGTTTTATGTCAGAAATAATATGTAAAATGTGTTTGACCATTATCGCTTTCCATCAGGTGAGATTATGATCAATCACGGGACCCTTCCAATAGTAAAAATATAAAAATAGATGGAGTAAGAATCTAATGTATTATAATACTTTTCGTCCTAAAAAATACTTTTTAATTTAAACATGGTGTATGTAGCTACTTATACTTGGGATTGATTTTTATACTTAGATACTTTTGTATGCTTAATTTTATTTTTATATTTGTACGGTCGTCGATGTGAATTTTCGGAACAAAGTTCTTATACTTGCTCACTACTCATACTCAATCGCCTTTCAACGCCTGTCACGAAATATAACATCTTGACAGCATACGCAGAGTTTCGTAACATATTGCAAATTATATAGGGAACGTGTATAAAATATGACATGGATATCTAAGACACAGGAGGATAATATTGCGATAGGTGCCATACAATCTCACCAAGGCGCAAAACAAGTTCGGGTGGGATGGTGTCGCGACTGGGTAATAAAATTTCAAGAAGGGCCCTGTCAACGTATTTACGACATTGTCATAGGTGACGAAGAGAAACTGATTTTGTATCGTATCTTAAGTAATAGAAGGTCTCATTTCACAGTTTTCGTCAAATTGCCCTGTTGGTGGTTATTGAAGATTGCATTGTTTGATAGCTAAATCCATCGGTCTTCACGTCATGCTTCAAATGTATTGCTCAAGTATATCACTTCAGCGGAGCGGCAACGCTGCAAGTCTTGTAAATCTTGGACAGAAGACATAGTTTGCGCACTCTTTTTTCAATTTGTTCAGTGGATGAGTATTTAAATATCTCATGTGATCGTTTTTTTTAATCTGACTTACTATTATTAGCTGCTCAGTTGAAAAATGGATCTTAAGGTCGAATATCAATGTCTTAATTTTTTTAAATTTTCAAATTCATAATTGTTTCATTTGAAAATAATTATCACTTGTTTCGTGTTTCGGAAAGCATTTACGAGTATTGTCGTTGTCTAGTAAGTCGTTGTCAGAGGTTTTCATACATATGGTATACAGGGTGTAAGGAACAGGTTGGCAAAAACTGAAACAGGGAATTCAGATCATTATTCTGAACTGAAAACCAGTGGAAATTATTTACAGAAAACTTTAAATTTTTTCTTGTTTATTTTTTCATTTTAAATCGTGTATTTTATAATATTATAGTATAATATAAAGAATTAATATTTTATAGTGAAATACTATGAAATAAAAAAAAACAGCAATGTAATTTACGTATTAACATCCCACCGTGAAGCGTGGATACATCTGTGTAAGGTCAACGTCACAAGCGTACGTAAATTATCTACGAAGTGCCATTAACCGGTCGATACCTACGTATCATGCGTCGTGTGGATCGTAAAATTTTAAATACATTGCGCGGTATGAAAACTAAAAAAATAATTATATGACTGTGGTGCATTTACGGTGGGAAAATAATCTGCTATCTTATTCAGACCATTCATCTGGATAAGCTGTTTTCATTTTGGCTAACCTGTCTAACCTAAAGCAGTCTGTAACTTTTGATATCAGAGAGTACACAAGAGCTGTATTACATAAAATATCCTATGTGCTAAGTTAGGATCTAACCTGCTAGTGTGTCAAATTTCATTAAATTGTGTTCAGTAGTCATTAGCGTGAAAGAGTAACAGATATTTATTTGTCCATCCTTACAAAATTTTGCATTTATAATATTAATAAGATTACATAGTTTGACAGTTAAATCAATTAACTTTTACCTCAGGCTTCAACTGTACGGCTCGTGCGTACCACTTCTCAGCAGAGCGACAACGCCGAGCGTCACGTAAAGCTCGGGCTGCAGACACAGCACGAGCGCTATCCATCGGCGCTAGTTGTGCTGCGGTAACAAGTTGCTCTGCTGACTCCAGGAGACGCCGTTGTGATCTCAGAAAAAGACCTGGTGTAATACATGTAAATGTACTTCGTAAATCACATCCTAAAACTTTTATAATTACCTAAATTTTTTACTACGAGCTATTAGGAATGAAAAATAGGCTAATATGACATTTGAAAAAAAAATAGTAATCATTGCTTACACAAATAAAATATACTATGTACAACATAGAATATACTGTATTGCTTACTGGCATTTCTTGCTTTGTCTATTTTGATTATTAAATCGGTATGTCGATCAGTAACTATATTATTTAGAGATATGTTTTTATGATAGGCGTCGGTGATAATCAAAAAAGATATCACAATTACTAAAAAATTTTCACAAAATATATTTTTTTGTACAATCTACTTCAATTCATTGTTGTGTTCGTTTTTACTACTGTGACACATTATTTATTTAAGCTTAGTTATACATACATATATGTCTGTGTCCCAAATTTAGTTATATCAAAGTATATTTAAACTCATGAACAAAATTATAAGTGTTGCTGGACAAAGTTTTAAGTAAATAACAATTCGGTCAACAAATATTTTATATTTATAAAGCATCCAATATAAAAACGAAAATATATTAAGTAAACTGAAGCACAAAATAAATAGGTGATTCAAATCACCAACGTGCCTGTGTATTTTTTCTGACGAAACGTGATTAGAATGGCGTAGTAAATTTACTGATATAATTTGTCAATTTAAGTCGATGTAATATAAAGTTGATTTGAAATAGAGTTATCTATAGATAGTAATATTGTTGTAAAAAATTCGTAAGCATATGCAAAACTTGTTCATTTTACATTCCAGCTTTTTATCTAACAAGAAAATAGTAACATGTTGCCCCAATTACGCTTTAGCACTACTTATTTTGCATTGCCATTAAATGTTTTTAAAGAACTATACAAAATTATCACTAAGTATATGGTTGCTTGTAGTAGAAATATTGCACTAACCCACGACCTAGGTTAACTCTGGTGCATTTATTAGTAGCTACACCACACTAATGCATTTCTCGTGTAACGGCCTTCAGCATAATAGTGCATTCTTTGCGCTCATGCTTGTTTTTTTTTAGGTATATCAGCTTTGCAAGCTCCAAGGAAATAAATTTCATTTCATTACCTTTTTATCAGGATAACATTTTTAGGATTATCTATGTGCAAGTATACAGGAAACAAAATAGTGTTGAGAATGCATATTTTCTTTCCAGGAACATTATTATTATGTATTTAAGCAAAAAGGTTAAAATTGTATAAATTTGTTTTAGCAAAAATATTTGTAAAAAATGAATGGAAAGTTATAGTACGAGTAACGAGTAACTAACAAAATTTATCGAGGGGAAATTTGCAGGTGTAGGCATAGCTTGCCTGTGGGCTGCGTGACCGAGGGCGGGTCGCATAATCGTTTGCAATAAAACAATTGAACGCGAACTGTATTTTGACGAGAGCTCTGGCGTCCGTGTAATTTATTGATCACCAAGATACTGTTATTAATGAATGTTCTAAGAGTTAAAATGTTTGCAAAAAATAGGATTTGATGTAGTTAATCTAAATAAATTATAAATACCTGAAGTGATCTTGTTTTTAAATTATCTAATGATGAAATCTCAATAAGAATTTATCAATTATATTAATATATATAAAATAAGAGAATGCCATCGGGCATTAAGTTTGCGCTGTAGACATATTTGAATGTGTACAAAAGCATAAATAAATAAAATATAAACTATATTATATTTTAGATATTATTATAGGACTAGATCTATAAACGTATCTGTTTTGTTAATTTAAAATATAAAGTGTTATACTCATTACCACCTTTGGTTTAATAAATTAATGCAATGAACTCAGTAATTCACAGTATACAGAGTCAAAACATTTATATTCTCTATAATACACGCGTAGCAAGTTTGACGTTCTTTATAAAAAAAAATACCTATTATATAGATAAACACTTCAGACGTTCACAAGTGTTTAACGTTGCTAATTAAGAGCAGAACATTAAGGAATACGAGTATAATGTAGTTTTGTCTATAATTTGTATCTCCATGTAATAATAATATTTTGATTCAACAGACAGTGGTTATAATTCACATGCATGTATTAGACCGAATATCTGTTTAAGGCTGGCAGCTTGCTAGGCGTTCGTAACTAGTAAATGCATCAAAATGTCAAAAGCACAATATAAATGCGGGTTTAGTGTTTCATCGTCCGTGGTATTGGTAGACTGTCCAATTTATCAAGATTATAAATGATGAAGTGAAAGTGATATGCTACATGTATTAATAAATCTACGGTTCTTACCGAATTGATCTCGTACTGATGGATCATTGGGTGCTAAGGTTAAAGCTTTTTTGAACCACATTTCCGCTTCGATGATTCGGCTGGCCTGCAACAATATAAAATTTTAATCGAAGACCTTACCAGAGTAGTTTAAGAGAACGAGTTTAAATAGATATGATTTTGCACAAATCGTCTGTAAATGTTTCATTTATTCTACTACTAACTAATTTTTATCATGCGCTGAGATTTATTGGGTAATGTGTTGAAATGATTTTTTTATGTAACTTAGAATGAAAGAAAGCTGACGGACCATCTGATGAAAAGTGGTAACACACAGTATATTTACCATCCATGATACTCTTTGCGCGTTGTCATTCTAGACGATTAAGATGTTATGGTTCTGTAAATATATGTATAATAAAATCGGAAATGAAATTACGGGAGAATTTAATTATCATATGCCATTTTTCAAATCCAAACATAGCCATGCAAACATAAATGCAAGACAGAAACACGAATACGACAAAGGTACTGAAGCAGACGATTTTTATACAAAATCTCTCTCTGGTAAAATTTATTATGATTTGAAAATAGGTAAGTTACAACACTATATGAATCAGGATTTTCATCTCACAAGGGTTAACAATGCATGAATGGCACTTCTGATATGTTGTTATAGGTTTTCGTAGATAGTTATCACCAAGCTATATTTTTGATTGCTGTCTTTTTTATAGATAATAAAAAAAAAAGACAAAAATAGGACTTTTGTGTATTCGGATTTGTTCATTCAATTTTTTTTTCGATATAGGCATCACAATGCTGACACTAAGAATATTTTCTTATTACTTCACTCGGCAGAACAGTGATAAATATACCGTGTAAATGTACTTTTGCTTGAGGTTTAATCTCCAGATAAAAGACTTCGTTGCGTAACATAGGAGTACAACATATACTGAACGCCGTTAATGGCATTTTTTCCGCCATACTCCGCGATCGTATACGGCTCACATTTTTTCTGATATCGCAGGAAAACCATATGGGACGTTATATAAGAGAACAAGAAAAATAAAAATAGATATGATACGGTCGACGTGTAAGCGTCAGTGGCAAATGTACGGGGCGGAGGAATGTTTCGACGTCTTTGTTATGGTTCGCCGAAGTTATCGCAGATAAAGCACACAATACTGTTATATACATATTGGATACAAAAATCAGGAATATAATACGAAGATAACAACCAATCGTTACTTGTTTTTTAATAGTACCTACTATATCTACAGTTAATTCAGTATAAGTTTAGAGTAACTAGAGATTCTACCATTACTATATAATTAATAGGAAATTTTATGATTATTTTAGCAAGGATTCTTATTTTATTACCCAATTGTTTTATAAATTATACTCGTATTTTATTATCTTTATTAGGGTATACTTAAATAAGCAACTAAATTAATGTTAAGAATATTAATTTTCTTGGACATAGAATATTGTAGTCTAAGGCCCACTACATACACGTTAATTTAATTGAAATAAAGCTTATACTCACCAATTTTGTATATTATTACTTACATTTCTGGCGACAATTTGAGCTAAAGTAACATGTGATGCAGCGTTATGTGGCGCGACAGCTAATGCTGAGAGAATGCTGTGTTCAGCCTGTGGCCATTGCTGTAACTGGACGTAGATTTCTCCAGCCATAGATAATACGTTCTATAACAAAGCATGAATATCAAGTTATTATTTAGTAATTTTAAACTTTCGCGATGTTTACACTTATTTTTAATACATAATCGGGACTTAACGTCATGAAAAAGCTTCTACAGGTAAATAGTACATACATACCTGCTTTTTTATTGCCGTCGTTTCGACGTGGTTTGGACTACGTCAAGGTCACGACAGGACTGAAGCAGGTATGTAGGTACTACGAGTATTTACTTATAAAAGCTTTTTCATCGCGTTAAATTCAGATTGTGTATTTAAAATAACTTAATTTTTATTCTTACTAATAGAATCAGTCTGAAAGTGCGTTTATTACCTCTTAATGACTTATCGCGTCAACTAATCGTCATGAAATTTAATAGTAATCGTAGTATTTTTCATAGAGTAACAGATATGGTACTTTTTATCTCGATTAAATAATATATTATGGTCATATAGACAAAGCCCCTTGGCTTCGTATATTACGGTTAATAATTGATATTTAATTCTGATGGATGAAAAATATATTTTAACAGTGAATATGGAATGTATGTAGAAATAATTAGAGCTAGAATATTTCATACATAAACGTTGTTATTGTTTACATACAGTATATAAAATATAATACGTTATAGGAGGATTAAAATATAATATTTATATTACTTCCACACATTTTATTTAACCTAATTTTATTTGTTTAGAAAAAATTCAAGTTTTCTTAAGAACGTAAAAATATTTACTTTCACTTACATGTCGCGTCCACCCTACGATTGGTGTATTAGTGTTGGGCAGCATTTGCAAAGCTTCTTTATACGCTGACAGCGCTTTATGCCAATGCCCTCGTTGAGAGTGGAGAGCTGCGAGTTGTACCAGCGCAGAGACTCTTGCTGCTTCATGCTCTCTTCTGTCGCGTACTCGGACACCTTCGGCCCGCGAACCAGCGCGCAGTGCGCTCGCCGCCTCTGCTAGTCTTCCATCAGCCATTAGTGATGTGCCCAGATTTACGTACGCCACTAAAAGTATATTAAATAGTATTATTCTTCCTCTTTAACTCATACTTTTAATAGCTAAGTTTAGTTATATTTTTAACTGTGAAAAAGAGTGTAATTATTTATGTCGGGTTTATTTACTTTATAAATTCGAGGATGCTCGACTAGTTTCTAAAACAATAGAAGTAAAGACGACATAAATAGTTACAATATAGTATAACTCATGATAGTTTTTGTACGAAAAGAGCTTGTTTGTTATCTTGTGGCGCTTTCCAACCACTGTATTTCTATGGCTAAGCTGTTGTGCTTGCAAGGCTAGGGTGAGATATTGTAGTAAATCACAGGACACGGGGGCTTGACATCTTCTAGGCTTGAGAGGTATTACGCTCATTATAGTATAATGTCCTTGATGCTGTTCTAGTCAATAAGTGATAATTACCACTTTCCATCAGGTGGGCCATCAGCAAATTTACACCCCAATTGGCATAATATAAAATAATCCGCGGAATTAAATGTTAGTTTTAATATTTGTAATTAAACTTAGTAACAGTACTTACGGGCCATTGATGGTCTAAAATAAATAGCTCTCTCAAAACTTTTGATAGCTTCTCCGTATCGCCTTTGGTTTTGAAGTAAAATGCCTCTGAAACAAAGAAAACCACAACTTGAGTTTAGTATTATCAATTTTCTTACTCTTGAGGGATAATTTTATTATATTTCGTGAAATTATTTTTCTAACTGTGACCTGCTGCTTTGTTAGCGTAAATTTTATTATGTCTATTTAATAGACTGAGTGATCTAAAGATGTAGAATAGTGGCTCTCACAAGATGTAAATTAAAAATATTTTTTATACATCAAATAGATGAAAACTAAAGTTTATCTGAACATGAAAAAAATGCCATAGACTATCTTTTTTTTGTCATTGGTTTTTTAATAGAAAAACAATTATTGTTTGTTTACTAGGAATCTATTTTGGGCGAAACATAGACGTAGTATAACGTACTTATGTACTTTATAATGTAAGAGGTGAAACGTATAAAAGTTGGTTTAATTATGTTTAGTACTAGATAAAAATATCATTTCACTTAATATGCAAATTCGTTAAGGTAATTTAAAGAGATATAAACAGTTATAAGAAAATTTTAAAACATAGTTAGATGTGAATCGCTTTGTATACGCTTATGGTAATTTTAATATATATATATTTAGAAAATTAGGCCCTATAATCATTGAGAGTGTCTTAACTCTTAATTTCTTCATATACTATCTGTTAAACAAGAAATACGTACGTTCAGTCATTACAGTTTTATTAACGACATGGTTAGTCTAGGGCAACTAGAAAGATTTATCGACGACAATCCTCTCCGATTGTTTTAAATTCTACATGTATGTATGATGTCGATAGCAGCTGACTAAGGTATTGTATGTATGCCGTAAAAAGACCATAAGACCACCGAATATGGACCTATCAAAACACCTGCCATAATTGTCAAAAAAGGTCATCTAGTACATAATTATTTCATTCGTCGTTCCATTGCCTCTTTTTTTTTTAATAATTACGAACCTTTTTATTGTTAATAGTTTTGCATGTACACATTATATTTTAACTTTTAACTGCAAGTATGCTCAAATTGATTTACGTACAGTCTAGATAGGAATGTTCGACTAGTTTTGGTATTATCCAGCCCTTTAATCAAGTTAATCCAGACTGCAAGAATATTGCAGTTTAAGTAAAATTACGAACATTATTAAATTGAGTATTACAACTGTACAGTGCAGATAACTATAATCATCCCAAATGAATGATTTAAATATAATATTTAAATATAACCAATTACCAGAATAAAACAGCCTATGTTCTCCATTTCCATATATTACATGTATACTAGATTTTATAGTGACCAGTCAAACCGTTAAGATGCTAAGAGATAACAAACAAACTCTTAGATTTATTATATTTGTAAAGACTAGTAAGAATTAAGTCAGCGATAAATTTTTCCACATACGTTACGTTACGTAATTTAGGCAATTTAATATTGCGTCTGGAATTTGTATTGGATTTATTATCGGAAAGTACATAAATTGGCTTGATTAAATATGAAAATACAAATTAAAATAAATATGAAACAAACAGGGTCATAATAATGAACGTATAAAGATAAACACAGTTTGGTTTGTTATGTATGCTTAATAACATGCATATAATAAAACTGCCTTTATTATATTATTCGATTATATCATTATACCATACTAATGTATAGTATTATATTATATTATTTGTGTCTCTGTTTGAACGTGTTTAATCTTTGCTACGACCTCTTTGGATTTGACGGCTCATTTCTTAAGGAAGGTTATATAGGCTATTCAATATCACAATACGACCACGAGCGAAACCGCAAAGTACAGCTAGTCAATGTATATTCCTTTTTCGTAATATACCTATATAGTGATATAGTATAAATAACATGATAATATGAGGAGGTATAGTAATTTTGTTTCATTCGCAATGAAAACGATTTGCAAATGCAAAATAATGACATTATTTAGAGTAGATAATTACTGATATAATGAAGCGGAAGTGTTTGCGTTTGTTTGCTAATTTCTGAAACTACCAGTCGAATTTAAAAAGATGTTTTTGCATTTGACAGCTCATTTCTTGAGAAAAAAATAATACAATTAGTGATGAAGCCGCGAGGTATAACAAGTATAAATTAAAAATAAAATCAAGTTTTAAACAATACCCATAATCATAATTTCAAATAGACTTGTACTTACAATTGTTTAATAGAATGTGGCCCAGTTATTAATGTTATATTGACATAATCAATTCAATATGTAACCAAGTACACCTAGATTGGATAAAATGTTAAACTGAATATAGAATTTAGATTCAATATTTTCTCTTGGATAATCTAAAGTTCAAAGCTTTGTATTACTTAAGTGGGTGTAGGTATATTTGAAATAAACCTGTGTAATATCTGTAAAGGATATAAATTGTAGGTACGCTAAGAAATATAGATAGCCTCTGTCAAAGTAGGCACTCCTTATCTCAAATACAGTATTACAAGCCTTTGAGGATATTTATCATGTTTTGCTTTGAAATTGTGGCTTTTTATGTTGAATAATAAATTCAGTTGCTTTAAATATATTTGCAATATTTTCAACCGTATTACAGATGTAAATATTTGTGTGTTTTTTATTTATAAATGTGGTTGAATTCATTTTACTAAAATTTGTGGTTCATATATGGATTGTTTAAGATTAATTTTTCATATTAATTTGCACGAGTAAAGTCGCGAGTTATGTATATTGTATTTGAAATTAGATGTAATTTGTTAAAGACTAACTGAAATTATGATGTAAAAAGTAGAAAAGAGTATACAGATGTTCGCTAGCTCGGCGTGTATTACTGAAATGGTGATTTTTATATTTGAACCCACCAGTGGTTCAAGAGTTATTATTTTTTTATAGTAGCTGATCATTATTTATACAAGTATTTATACTTTGATCAGCTACTATAAAAAAATAAATAGTAAACATTATTAAAGCTTTCTTTTTATTATATTTAAAATTACAAACAAGTTGATATCCCACGTATAAGAAATTGGAAATCGCAGCCTTTAGACAGACATGGGCATCACAGAATTCATTGTGATGCCCATAGAAATCATGTGTTACTATTCCTAAGGACTATGCTGTTATGCCTTCGTGTCCTGTAATTTCACTGCCATATTCTACTCTTCAAGCCGAATTATAGCCATGTAAGCACAGTTGCTTCACGGCAGAAACATCAACAGGACGGAGGTGCGCATGCAGACGACTGTTGTACTTTCCTTAATTTCCCTTCGATATGCCGCCTTATGAAAATTGGCAAACGTATATAAAAGGAAATCTAAGCTAAATGAGCTCAGATTATATAGATAGAGTGTCTTCATAGAAATACTTTTAGAAAAGCGGGTCAACTTTTTGATACAATTTTTCGTGATAAATAGTTATGAGTGATTCCTTTATAACTCTATATTTCTTTTGTCTTATAAATTCTGCATCTTTTTAATACGTAAACACTCATTTTATTCAATAAATAATATGTCAAGATACATTTTATGCGTAACTATAATATATAGAACACTAATAAAAAAAATGAGTCAGTTAATTTGACAATTAGCTGACAAAAAGTTGACCCGTTTTTGAGGCTCGATGCTCTATCTATATAAGATTATCAAATACATCTATATATATTAAGTTGCAAATTACGTCGATGCTTGCGTGAATTAAATAATGTAAATAATTTTACCTAATATATCGTAAATATATTTGACTGAAATTTGGTAAACATATTTTATCTAAATTCATTCAGTTATTGAATTGTGATCGAGTAATGAACATCCAAACATCTTTACAAACTTTATTATAATAAATGAGAAAGATTCCTAAAAATATTACATGTAATATCTTTAGGCAACTTTCGGAAAAAAAGATTCATCATAGTTATATAAGAATAATAGAACCTTACAACGTACATTGCAGCCAGTATTACGGATATAATATAGTTAGGTACTTAATAGTAGATATACACAAACTTTGTTTATTTCCCTTGCAATCGATCAATCTTTGTATGCATGATCTTTCTATGGAAGAACGAAACTATACTTCTGACATTTCATTTTATCATTAATACTGATATAGGTTTAGGCCGGCCAACTAACAATTCCTCGTATCCAATTATTTATAAAATAGAATTATTTCATCCGTGTTAGGAGATATTCGCGGTTAACCGTCGATTAGCGAATTAGGATAGATCGATGGTTGGTTGCTTTTGAATTAATATCAGAACGACTGTTCCACTCAACATTCCACATAATAATTCTAACGTTCAATTGCTTTCAGAATATATTAGTACGCGAGCTTTGTACAAAATGTCACATCTCCTAACGTTGTATCTATGTTAACGTCATTGATCAAGTTGGTACAATCGTCTACGGTGACGAAATAATTTATGTTGCTGAATTTTGTATTAATAAAATAGATTGTAGATAATTAAGTAATAAATTATTTAGTCTTTTAGCTATAAAACATAATAGGCTCAATTAAAAGCAATCATTTTCTACTTAGATTTTGATATTAATTATTAGGAATTTGAAGTTATTTTATCTTCTTATCTTTTTAATATAGAGTAGTTAAGTAGAATAAAAAAAAAAATATGTATAGGTAAGTTTACTTTGCTGTTCGATTCCTGCATAGAATGAGCCACCCTTTTCTTTCCAGGGAGTGTCTAGAGGAACTTAATGGACAAGAGATGGGCAGTAGCGTGTCTCCTAAAACATCACAGAAGTCCAATTACGGTTACCAAGCAGACTTTTAAAACATAATTAAAGGCTAACTGCGGTTGCCAATCCGTCTGTCTAGCATGACAAATACTGCAACCCTCCCCCCCTCCCCTTAGCGGAAGGCCTATGATCAGCAGTGGATTACGCTAATGATGATTAAACTTACATAAGGTGAGTTGATATGTATTTTATGAGTTCATTTTACGGATAAACTTACTATTAAATATCGTTGTATTTGAAAATTTTTACCCAAATCTCAGCATATCAGTTTTCTGTGAGTAAAAAATATCAAAATATCATTGAGCGATATATGAT